AAAGCTGATAACTGGCTGAAGATGTCGTACGGATGGTCACGTTACTGTAACCGATTCTGGCTTTCTTGGGGTAGTTTTAGCATATACATAAGGTGTTACACACGACACGGTATAAGTATAAGTATGCAGCATCAGACGCTGATAGATATCAATTTTGACTACGTATTTAAAATATCAAGACTAGATCAACTTTTTAAAACTGAGATTTTGCGGGTCTTTATTAAGCACACATGGGATGACCCTTATTTACTGTGTTGTCTTTTTAAAACTGAAACCAATTGGTAATAGACCATCATATAGGGCAAAAGATTGCATAGCGATCAGCGCCATAATAAGATATTAATATTAATGCACTTCAAACCCAGTTTTTATTTTAATTAAACATTACACATGTTGTAAGAATAAACGATGATTAAACAATTATAGCGAGAACTCAGGAATCGGAACCCAACAATGAACAGTGTGAATATTATTCGTGTGAACCGATATCGTCTCCCCCAGGACCGTTGAAAGGATGGCCGAACACTGGATTGCCGAACACAGGATTCGGATTGCCAACCCCAGAATCGCCACCCCCAGAATCGCCACCCCCAGAATCGCCACCCCCAGAATTGCCACCCCCAGAATTGCCAACTCCAGAATTGCCAACTCCAGGATTGCCAGCAGGCCTAGGATGACCACCTGGTGGTCTGTTATTAGTTCCTCCTTTCCGCCCTCCTCCAAGAGGAGGTACACAATACCTTTTTCTTCTTCTTCCGTTTCTTTTATTGTGACAAGTCGAAGTATGTCGGTAATCGCCTCTTTAATAGGACAGGCAAATGGTCATAATAAAGGATGTGAGTGAGGATATCATTGTTGGACGTTCAAAAGTGCAGGTTCTGTCGAACTATTAATGGTCAGCTATTTCAATTATACCATACCAATTATACCACTCACCCATCATCGCCATCGCCATCGCCATTTAGTTTCCTGGCAGTTGCAATAGTAATGATAATTGCAAGAACCATGATAGCAACCAAGATTAAGCGAAGTTTGATCATTTTGTAGGATAATTTGATGCTATACAGCAAGTCTCGTAAAAGATTCCGTAAAGAGAGTGTGAATGGTAGTTGCAAATACCAAACGAGACTTGAACTAAGACCCAAGCTTAGTCAAAAAAAAAAAAAAAAAAAGAATGACAAGTTTTTAGAACCCATTCACTTCGCATTTTATATATTAATACTACGTTTGTATAAATGTCGTACATTGGAAATCTCGAAATGGTTAATCACATAGCCGATCAATACAAACAAATTTTTAATTGTCCCCGCACTTGAACCAATTCTGAAGAAAACCAACTGTGTTATATGATCGCCGTTGTCATGTATATCCCATGGATAAATAAATAAATAAACAAAGTAGAATTGTCCAATTGCTTAGTATTAATCGAGTTGACCAGTACGTCAACTCGGATTGCGATCTGAAACATTGTATAACTCGTAACTTCGCACCTATTAAACTCAATTTAGTTGAACAGTCGTTAATACATGGTTCGGATCTGAGTATGAACACAGGTTAATAATAATAAGCGAGCTGTTAGCATCATGATGTCATATCCAATTTGTGGTTGCTACTTAATAATTCGTAAAACTTGACATTTCGGAATAACCTGTACATTAATCCTTGACGATTTGTTGCTTATTCATGCTATCTCATTCATTCATGCCAAGTTTACAAATCGCCACTTGATGCAATCACTTTCTTGATCCTGTAGTATTAAACTACTCACCAATTCCAAACTTCATTACAATTAACCCCAAAGTTTCATATTCTACCAATAATATTTAGTGTTACATATTTTTGTGCTACAAAAAACGTAATCCATTACGTATGGTTCACCAGACACAACGATTTTGCGAATACACTTATTCATCATCAACGAGTGAACATTGAATTTGTTAACACAGAGTACTCATTGATCGTTTTCAAGCAAAGATAGATTTACCACTGTCATAAAAATGCGGTTTAATAAGTTTTTCCTTTATGACCTTTAACCGTGCTGGCTCTGCCACACAAGAAACCGTATTTATGTTACACACATGATTTTACATTTTCACGTGTTTATAACATAAATACTCGCCACTTTAAAACGGAAAGAGACTGAATATATCATCAATTAGCTTCAAAATTCATTGCGGTTTACATATAATAAAAATTTTTCTAGTAAGAGACGAATACTTGGTAATACGTACAATATTGCTGTCAGGTGGTGTATGCTCGGAGCAATAGTAAGGCGAACTGTGCGGTATTTGGCTTGTCCGTAAGCGTGTTCATTAATGTTTCTCAATCTGCTCCTCGACTAACTATTTTCAAAAGCAGTATTCAGAGATTGGTTATTACTACTGTTGTTGTTAGTTTGGAAGTTAGCTGGCAAGCATTTTTTTGACAGTCTGTTGTCCAGACGTCCTATTATCACAAAACGAGAATGCGACTGTTTTTGGGCAAGATGTCTCTGCAAACAGTCGAATATGAGAAAATAGACGATCGACATTGTGATTTGGAGGGCCGGCACATAGCGATGTCAAGTTAATTAATGCAAAAGGTCAAATGTTAAATTTTATGTGTAGGCAAAAGGGAAGAAATTCAAAAAGCCACAGAACGACCGATTAAGTTCCTAACTCACATCTGCGCTTCATTGATTGTACTAAATTAATTAACATGGTTCTGCATTCCATTTCTCTACTGATTTTTTATAATTTTCTTTTTTTATCGGATTTAAATTGTGGAATCACGGCGTGTATTCTGACCGATGTACCGCGCAACATTGAGAGTGATTTTTTTCGGTCGACCAGCTCCGTTTTGGTGGACTATACTGACAATTTTTTAAGTTATTATAGATAGTCCGCATTGGAATCTTGTTGCTTTTCGTGATCAAAACAAAAACAAGTTTGCATGATTTGGTTTATTTTCGGGAAATTTACGCCAATAATTTCTTTACACATTGTTGTTAAATACGTTCCAAAGTCAAATAGGTCACATGATTAGCGTCTAACGCATGAATAGTATCGACCGTATACGTTTCGCAAGTTATGGCACCAATTAACGCCTTATATTCAAATCATGAGTCCAAGAACGGATTTATGTGACACGTGCCAACATTTCCGAAATGGCTTACAGTATAATGCTCGCAAGGAAGGAGACTTACTAAAAAAGTACAAAGAACATTTAGTTAAGGCTAAATTAGAGAGAAACTATTACAACAAAAATACGAAATTAGCAGAACAACAGAG